ACATCACAGGCTTGTGTTTGTGCTGCAGACATTATTTTTTCAACTACAGCAAAGACTTTGTGGACTGCATATAAGTTCAATGTGTTCATTGAGTAGACAAGGCTGATTAATAATACCATTGCTTTAAAAAAGTGAACAAAACCCCTATTATATCAAAACAAAACCCCTATTATATCAAATAATATAAGAGCAAAAAGCTTCATTGATCTATCAGCAAGTCTAAGGTAAATGTTGCAAAAAAGCTTAAAACATATATAATGTTTACATTTCAAAATATGGAAAATGGGAATAGTTAACAGGCATGTTTTTAAATAATTTACCCTGATTTTCTTTTAAAATTGTGAGGATAATGTGCCTGAAATTGTCCAATATGTCTGCGTACGTATTTGGACAGACATGACTCAGACAACACTGGCCCGCATTTTTGTGGTCTTGTCTTTTAATGTGACACAAGGCAGATGCTCCACTTTGTCGTCAGTCCAAGAACGAGTTTGGTTCTTGGGTTTGTATTTGTGTTCTTCGTCTTTTTTTGTCTTGTTGTATTCACAACTTGAAACATAAGGCTCTTTCTCAAACCAACCCAATCTGGAACTTGTGCATCGTCTGTCCACTCAGGTGACTTCTGATTGGACCGAGACAGCGGGGAGGGGGGAGGGGGGTCGAAGTCAGCCCACTCCTCTTTAACACAAAAACCAGTTTCAGAAAATTATCAGTTATAGTTAAGATGATGATTTGCCCCAGTGTTGCCCAATCATAGAGACACTAACCTGCATGATTTAGATCAGGGATAGTCAGTCTTGGTCTTTAAGGTCTGCAGCCCTGCATGTTTTACTTGTTTGCCTTCTCTAACACACCTGATTGAGTCAGTGAATCACCTCTTCTGCAGAAGCCTGAAAATCATCCATTCACTCAAATCAGGTATGTTGGAGCAGAGAAGCATGTAAAACATGCAGGGCTGCTGCCCTCAAGGACCAGAATTGACTATCCCTGTTTTAGATGGTGGACCTTGAGGACCAGATTGGGCACAACTTATCTTTACTAAATCTTTATCTTAAAAAACAAAATAAAAAACATGTTGACTGTTCTTGTGTTTGTTTTTTTTTAAAACTGTACTTCTTGTTTCTGCCACTTCAGCTTTGAGCAGAAAGGTCACATCAACAGATTCAAAGGACAGATATACTGATGTATAGCTGGTCTGGCCAGTTTTCCATGGTGGCAGGATCTTGCAGCAGAGCTTCTCTAGCAAAACTCTCATGTTACTGGTGTCTCATTTCACCAGCTCAGGGCAGCTGGCGAAACTCACTGTCCTTGACTGCATGCCCTTTCTTCCACTTATTTGTGTTTATCTATTGCTCAATAATCTTTTACGATCTGTTATATGTGTTTTTTGGTCTCTCTGCTACTTTTTCCTGCATATTCAAATGAACTCTGACATCTTCACATTCCTGTTTTCTTCACATCCTTTCAATCTTGGTTTCTCACCACACTTTTGCAATGCTAATGAGGTAACACAAACCCCAGATGGGGTTTTTGGATTTTCCTTTTTGTTAGCAGGGCACTAATTAGGTGACTTTGGCATAATTAAATTTGTCATGCCGTTATTGATGTTTTAAATTCACTTCATTAATTTTCCTCTATCATCATTTTTTTAACCATGTGTACGCTGGTTTTGAGCCAAAACTCTGAGCAGAGATCGCCAGACCTCACCGTCTTCAGGCGCTGGTTCACAAGTTGATTTTTCCACATCTAGAGAGAAACCAAAGAGCCATATTTTCACTTTAAACATCTCTGTCAATATAACATTTGATCATCACATTACTTTTTTATCAGAGCTCCTGTAAAAAAGAAACTGATATGAATGATAATTTACCTTTCTAGATCTTAAAGTTTGTCCGGCTTCCCCAAAACTCTATTTTATAAACCTTTTAAATCAGAGTGGGTATTTTTTATGACTAGATGGGATCTATAAATGGGCACTTTTCACAAAGTAATTGAAGTGTGTTCATGTTCTTCTATCACTGCTTCAGATTTACAGACATACACATTTTTATTGTCTTGAAAATTTCATATATGTCACATTAAGCTTTATTACTCCAGAAAACAGTTATTTTCAATATAAAACTGTAACAGTGCAAAGACTACCAGAGCATTTAGTCTTTAAAATTTGTTTTGTCTTTTATGTCCCTCATATAAGTCCTTTGTTTTGAATGATGAAATGGAAACTTGTGCATATGAGTTTTTGAGAAAATGTAATAATTGCATTTTTTTACCCAATAAGAAATATCCATCCATTATCTATACCCGCTTCTTCCTTTCAGGGTCATGGGGGTCACTGGTGCCCATAACCAGCAGTCACTCTGCAAGGGGTGGGGTATGCCCTGGACAGGTTGCAAGCCCATCACAGGGTCACACATTCACTCTCTCACACCTAGAGACAATTTAGAGTTACCAGTTAACCTAACAGTCATGTTTTTTGTCTGTGGGAGAAAGCCAGAATGCCCAGAGAAAACCCATGCATGCATGATATTCTTTTTTTATTTTAAAAAAGATGAAAATTAAGGAACAATATCAGAATACAATTCTATACATATACACTGCTCAAAAAAAATAAAGGGAACACTTAAACAACGCACGCTAACTCCCGATCTTAATCAATGAAATATTCGCATTGAGTACTTTGTTCTATACAGAGTTGAATTTGCTTCACAAAAGTTTGATTTACTTGGACTTAGCGTGCGTTGTTTAAGTGTTCCCTTTATTTTTTTGAGCAGTGTATATATATTTGTCTTTTATCTAATTTTATCTTATTTAAAACAACAGAGACATCTACTTAATGCTGTTTGAACTGTAGGTTTTTGTTTTTGGCTCTGTTGACCTATGTTGCTGCTGCTCAAGGGCAACACAGTGGTAATCTGAGGTCACATTTGATGACTTTAAATACAGCATACAGGTATGGTGCTCTACACGTGTTTCACCTGACACATCTGTCTGTGTGGTTACAGTTTTTTACTGGTACAAAGGGATATTTGGCTATAAGAGTGAAAACTTTTGACTATAACTTAAAACATACACCTAAATAAAAACAATTAAGCTTTGCTGTAATCACATCTTGATTGCTGCGTGGTAATAACATTCAAAAACCAAGAACAACCTTTAAGGTGGCTTTTGTTGAAATATTTTGGTAAAACAGTACTTTATTCACCTGCAGACATACTCTTGCAGTATTAAATCACATTGTTCAGACATTGGCCAAATCACTCACGTCATCAAACTGGAGCTTGGAGTACATGGCTACACGGCTTGTACACAGGTTTGAAATGATCTTTAACAGGCCAGAACATGGTGAGTACATTAAACAGACACTAGTACAAAGCATGAGCAGAGACAGAAGGGAGAAGGATATGGATCATGTGGCACATCACACAAGATGCTAAAGTTTGTTGACAGGACAAAAAAACAATCGGCACTTCTCACAAGGCACATCTGCTAAAACAGCTGCAAAGCAGCTGACAGATGTTTAAAAGAAGGGGTCACAGCATTGTCTGAGGGCCAAGACTCTGACCAAAATATGGTTTTATTCATTGAAATTTATGATCTTTTCTTAATTTATTCCTACATTTTGATCATTTTTTAATACAAAAAAGTGGAATCTTGAATTAGTTCCCTACATACCCTGGTACATTCATATAAAAATGTGTTTGTGTCTTCACTGACCAACTTTACTGTGTTCAGAACCAAACCAAACCAAACCAAACCAAACCAAACGAAATCAAACCAAACCCAAGAACTGCAAAATGCTACCAAAATATTTGTGAGTACGGAGCCTGCGAGGGGACATGTGGGATTTTTTTCTTTTGCGTTCCCAAGCAATACTATTGCGTTACCTCGCAATACTACTGCGTTACCTCACAATATTTTGCATTGCCTTGCAAAACTTTTTGCGCTACCTCGCAAAATTGCTTTGCATTCCCATGCAAAAGTTTGTTTTGTAAATTAACTGAATTAAATCAGACTTTTATTTTTGAAATATCCGGTTACCAAAACAGGATGTGTCACCACAAGTTTGTGAAATTGACATTGATGTTGTGTGGCTGCACTGTGTTAAAATATCGGCATATGACATACTTCCATGCATGGTTGTGTGATATATATTCATTCTGAAGCTGAATTAAAGTAGTAGGCTAACTCGCTAAGGGTGAACATGTAAATGTGTTAATAAACTGGCAGGCACAACAGTGATAAATGACTTTTGCGAGGGAATGCAAACAGTATTGTAAGGTAACGCAATACTATTGTGTGGGAACGCGAAAGAAAAAAAAATCCCCCATGTTGCCTCGTGGGCTAAAAAAAAAAACTAAAATAAACAAGCAAAACAAACAAAAAACATCACTGCCCCATTGTCCCCCACAAAAGAATAGAATGAAATAAAAGAAAGAGGAAAATATAGAAGTAACTCAACAGGTGGAAAGGTTGTAAGTTTTTGGATGTCTTGTTCAAGTGATGGTAGGATGGGGTGGGAGGTGGATCATCAGACTGGGATCTCTATCAGTAATGAGAATGTTGCCTCGATCAGCCGTGGTGAAGACAGAGCTGAGTCGAAAGGCAAAGCTCTCACTTTACTGGTCTGTCTATGTTCCAAACCTCACCTTTCGTTGTGAGGTTTGCATCCTGACTTAAAGAACGAGATCCCGGCAGAAATGAGCTTCCGTCAGAGAATGGACAGGCTCTGCTTTAGAGATAGGGTGAGGCGCTTCGTCATTCAGGGAAAACTTGAGCAGAGTAGCACCTTTGCATCAAAGAGTCAAGTGAGATGGTTTAGGCATCTAATTAAGTTGCCTCCTGGACGTTTTCAGGGCATGTCCCACTGGAAAGAGGCAGCAGTCACCAGTGATTCTTGAAGCTTTTTAATGGTTAATTATCCACAAATCCATGAATAGATGTGACAGGTAGCATTACAATGAACTCTAACTATAATTTTCTATACTTTTGTGTTTCCCTAGACATGTCAGTCAAAGGTTTTTGATCTATCTGATGGAGTCTCTCAGTACGCATGGTTCCCCTGTCGCGAAGCTGATCAATCAAGTTATGGATATACTACATACTGGCTGAAGGTAAGAATAATATTTATTATAAACAGTTTCATGTTACACCTGAATAAAAAAAGACATTTTGGTGAAATATCACTACTGTTACGTACTCTTCTGCTATTTGATATTGATGAAGCTTTATGTGAATAAGGCACTTTCAGTTCTTCAGGCATTAAGTAATCGATGTTATGCTTCAGCACACTATCAGTTCACCTATTTTATGACTCCCTCCATTTGTGAACCTTGTTAATGTTTCACAGTGAGCAAAATCCTTTTTGTCAGCATGCATCACATTACTTGATTTGTTAATTCGGAATGGAACTGTACAATGATCATAGATGCAGGTAACCAGGTTTTTCACATGTAACTTGTTTTAATAGAGTGCATTATCTATTTAAAGCACTGTCCAATAATTGTACTGGCTGTGGCTGCAACTGGACCCTCCTCCCCCTGTCAGCATCTTCTCAGATATTCCCATAACTTGAAGGAATTGCATTTCTTTTTCTACCAGACAGCATGTAACATTGCCAATACTAGTTGATGTGACAGAATAATTACAAATTTCCCGACAGCAACACATTCCTGGTAAGTTCTCTCCATTGTCCTGAGATGTGCAGTACCTGCAATTTTGCGACTTTACTTCTTGTTTACTACAGCCATGCGTAATGTCAATGTCTGACGTATACACTTTGCATAGCCTGGTTTATTTGTTTCGAGTCAGTTGATGGAAACACATCTGATGTGAATTTCGTTTTTTTTTTGTGACATTTTAAAAGTTTGCTCAAAATGTGCATTAAAATTGGATGGAAAGTCAGCTAGTGTATCTTTATTTTATATTCCCTTCAATCATTGTTTTTATAATCAGCATCGTGTTAAATTAACCCTCCTGTCATTTTGACCCAAGGGCAGCTGGAGCTTGACTCAAGTAAAGGCCAAGCTAGATAAATAAAGGACTCAGTATGGCTGTCCTTTTTGTGAAAACTCTCAGCAACTTTTAACTTGAATTTATAACTCATTAATTATTGAGCCCCTTTGTTGCCTTTGCTTTATTTTTTTTTCTTTAATTTATCCAATACATAAGAACAAAAAGTCCAAATGAGCATCCATACTAATCTGGTTTAACCTTAAACTCATTTTAACAATACTTGAATAATAATGTTCATTCATTTAGGTTCAGGCTGAGCAAATGTCTGTATTCAATGAAAGAGAGCTTCAATAAATCTCCTGTTATAACACTGCCTGGTGTCACTTTTCAAGCAGTCAGTGCTGAAAAGTGATGTGACCTTCGACACCTTGAGGGCCCCTGTGGACACTCACCATTAACCGCAAAATGGCACAATCACTTTTTATTTTACGAGCACTCTAATTTATGGCTCCTCTGATTTGACAAGACATTTATGTGAATAAATATTAGCAGATTTTGAAGTTAGGGGAGAAATGGTTGAAAGCCACTCATCCACTACCAAAATGGTTAAAACTGGAGACATGAACAAGGGAGATGAAGTAATATTAACATTTAGAATTTCATATCTAATGACTGCTACTCCATATTTGGTGTCAGCTTCCTGAAAAAGACTTATCAGGAAGTTTTGGTGAATTTTATTTAGTTGAAAACAATTTGTTTTCTTTCACGTAGGCACACTTTTCTCGACCCATGGTGGCAGCAGCAGTGATTATACATTTGGCTGCGGATGGGACTGCCTTCATTGACCACACACAGTGCAACATTACTGTTCAGTTGCTCGACAGCAAGGAGGGTGTCCACAGTCTGGGTGAGAACTCTGTAGTTTCAAATTTGCACTTTATTCACCTGTGGAATCAGACTGTTAAGCATGACAGAATGGAAAGCTGAGCTCATGTATCTTACAGAATGTGTGTCACTCACATCTTCCTTTTTTTAAACTTCTTGCCAATGTCTTTATTAGAGCACCACCGTTCAACACTAGCATGCTAGTTTATTTAGTCATCACTGATGTTCTCCAGGGCTGGATTAAAGTCTGCCTCAGTCCCTGTCTCCATCTTTGTTTTAATTTCAGTTTACTTTGTTTTGTCTTTGGTTCTTTGGCTTCTAATATCCTCTCTGCAGGTGAGTGGCGTCTGAGCTGCCGCACTAACCCTCTGGTGATCCCTGTGAGACATGACCTGTCAGTGGCCTTTTACCATACCAAGGCTATCCTGGTCATGTTTGCCTGTCGTCTTGTGGCCATCTCAGGTGTCGGCCTGAGGTCCTTTCAGTCTTTTGACCCTATCACAATAAGTGGCTGCCAGAGTAATGAGATCTACAACCCCACAGGACAAAGGTAATTATAAGAAATAATATTAATAATAGTAATGATGAAACACTGCTGGAACGATTCATATCACACGCACATCCAAATTCAAGACACACGAAATCAAATGATTATGTATTTTTAAAGGTTTCCTACTGATGAGGGAACTCAAAACTGAGTGCAAGTCAAAAGAAAATATAGTTAACAAAGCAGCTATATGTTTAATATTTGTTCATTTTTGTCAAGTCAAACCTAATTACAAATAACAAAATAACATATTTATTCTAAAAGTTTTTTTTTTGTTTTTATTTTTAAAAGATATACCTGGGTAGTATATTTCAACAGAAGGAAAAAGGGTGGTTGCCAAAAAAAAGTGACAGACACAATTTGATGTTTTCTAACATGAAGCATTTGATTGGTGAACCAGAAAAAAAAACTTGAACAAAACAAAACAAAACAAAGCAAAAAAAAAAAAAACAGATTTGATTGTGTGCTTTAAATAACATTGTCGGCTACTTATTGAATGCACTCACAGCTACAACTGTAAAACAATTGAGCTCACAAGAATCACACCACAGAATATTTAGTTATTTGAACCTGGGTTGTAAAGCTGCAAATTCCCAACAACTGAACTGCTGCTCTGCCTCCAGCACTAAATATTGTTTACTGTGGAAACTTGGTTTGTATTGAGTTTGGCTATAGTTCACACTGCATGAAAAACAGATTTTTTTCTCATATTTTCTTTAAAAAAAACATCAAATGAACATGTTTCTTCTCTTTTTTTCAGTTCTGACTTGTAGCGTGGTTGTTTGTCTCGTCATGTAGACATTTAAGTTGATGTTTCATATAGTGGTACCATGTTTCCAATGTTGCAATTTTTCCTTTTGTGTTTAAAAAAGTCAACAAAATCACAAGATCTGAAGGTTATTGAAAACAATGATTATTAACTTTAAAGTAAAAGCAAGAGCTGTGGGCAAAACTGTAAAGTAATAACATTTTCTGTGAAAATGCAATGTGAATATTTGTTGAAGTAGATAGTAAAAAATGAGAACAGAAACAGAACAGAAACCAAAACGAGTAGAACAGAAACTAAAAGGTGCAAAACAAAAGTTATACATACAAAAGTTTAAACTTACAGAAGCATTAGAAGCTAAAAACAGCAAGAGTTAAAAAGGAGCAACAATTGCTAAAAAAGAACAAAATGAAAGCTAAAAATTGCTGAATCGAAAAAAAAAAACAATAACAAGAACACATATCACCAAAAGAGGCACAACAATAGCACAACTAAACGCTAAAATGAGCTAACCAGTAGCCTATAGCTAACTGTATCAAAATACAGTATATATTCAAAACTAAAAGTTGCAGAATGACAACTAAAAGCTGTAAAACAGTCTAAAAAGGAAAATAAAAAATGCTGAAGCAGATCCCATTGTATTTCTAAGAATTTTTTTTGAATAAAGTTATTAAAGCTATTCTTAGACTATTTTCGTTGACCTCTACCTGACATTTTCCTTGCTGACCAAATGATATGAACTTCTACCTCCAGATTATGCTTAAAACAAACAATTTACCTATTGGGAACTTTTAAAAAAAGCACATAGCTCCTTAGCTTCCAATAATGTGATAAACTAAAATTGGTCATCAGTAGATCTGTTTGATGTGAAAGATCTGTTTGGTTTTGTTGTGTGCCTGTAGGTCATCCCAAAAGCTCCTAAATAGATTAAAAATTCAGCTTATCTGCATCAGCAAGGAACTTTTGTTTTGCACCCACACAATGCTTTCTTCCAGCTTTCTTGCTGACTTTTCTTTCTTTTATTCTCTCTCCTCTCCATCTCATTTCCAGATGCTTTTTGATAACATTATGCTCATGTGCTGTGAAGTCAAATCTCTGCCAACTTTTCTTGAGAGTGAATAATTTTCAATAGGTTTGTGACTTGATATTGTGTGGTGTCCTTACATTAGTTCAGTGATGACTCCAGGTTGAGTCCCTTAGTCTCTCTCTGGTATTGATTTGTTTCTGTTCCTTGATTAGTTCCAATCCATCATCAGACTCGTATTTGGTTCACTTCCCAAATTGCTAGTCTTTCCAATTTCATCTTACTTCTTCTTCACTTTCCTCTTCTCCCCATTTCTCCCCATTTCACATTTAACAGAGCTGATCTATCCCCTCCTGTCCTCTCATCCTTTACTTTCACATCAGCTTATTTCCCTGCAAACTGCCATCTTCTGCTCCTTAATTCTACCCTTTTTTGTGCCTCCCGTTTTTTTTCCTTCTATCATTCTCCTGAACTGAACTGCATATTTCCCGTAACACTTATATGCCTCCACTAAACACCACATCCTTTTTTAACTGAGCTGTTAACAACAGGATCTATTAACATGACTCAGTTTTATGCTCTACACTCATTTGTAAGCATACGCCCATGTATGTTTTTCTTTTTGGCCTGATTTTTGCACTTTTTTTGTTTACACTTTTCTCCCCCCCCCCCTTTTTTTTGTTTTGAAAAGTTATTTATGTGTGTGTATTTATTACAAGGGATATGTTCATGTAGTGTGTTGTGTTTTCCCTTTTCTGCTTCATTTGCCTATCTCTCTCATTTATCATTTTCAAAAGGCAATTGTACTTTTGTTTCTTGGTTTAGTTTCATTTTTTTGTTTTTTTTTTTATTGTGTTGTCTTTGTAACTTGTCCTCTATTTTTTCTGTTGATGTAAGAATTTTCTAATGTCCGATCTTTTTAGTTTTGTCCAGTGCCTTGTTTTGCACTTGGATTGGCCTAATTAATTGCTGCCATCTGCATATTTTATTAGTCATTTCACTGTATATTATTTTCTTAGTTTTGTGGCTGTTCCTTTTAATTACCTTCCACATGATTTTTAGACTTTCTTAAGCTCTGTCCAGTTATATATTTTTATTTCTTTGCTTTATGTTTTGGTTAGCATTGAATTTTCTGCTCCATAGATCTTTAGTTGAAGCTTTAAATAAACTCCCCTTGTCGTCCATCAATCTGACGTCATCCTGCTCCCTGCACTGGGGTCCTCACCTTGCCACTAACAATGACAACATTCAATCTTTTTGATGTGTATAATTTATTCTCATTTTTTCCGAAGAGGAGGAGGAGAGCCATTTTCCAGGTAGTTAATTGTAATTTATGTTGTAAACTTTAGAGTGACGAGTAGGAAACCACAAGGAGGTTTTGTTCAAAGTCAAAACGTCTCCAGAAAAGCTTTCAAGGTTCTCCCCAGTTTGTCCATTAAGATAAGAGTGTAGATGTAGGGGGACTTCAACTAATGTGTTTTAGAAACAGTCTTTTCCGGCTCATTTTTGTGGTCAACATAGGTTCCCAAGTGGGATGGGAATAGAGCAGCACAGAGGTAGAAAATTAAGAGCCTGGTGCAGGTAAAAACATGGTTTTCATCAGGGAGAGAAAGGAAAAAAAAGTGAAAGAGAATGCCTGCATCGGAAGAAAAAAAGTGGACTGGAACAAAAAAACATTCTTGCAGCAAATGGTTTTAACAATGTTTCTCCAGACTTGTATCCCCCCACAACCCGTCCCCGTCCCCACGCCTGCTTCATAAGGGAACCCTATACTGTAGAATGTGGACTGCTGTTAAAAAGGTGCCCTGGGCATCCAAACATTCCAGCATTTAAAGCCTTCTTCATCAGGCTTCTTATACAAAACAGTGGCCAAACTTTGTCACTTTAGCCTGCACATGATCCATCCTGTTGCTCCTTTTTCATAAACTGTGTGCACAGAGACGCCTCCTTTGTGCTCGTGCGGCAATCTGTTCTCCGTGTGGATTATTGATTTGATATGTTAAACAGTCATTGATGGATGGAAGTGGTTCACTTGGTGCATAATTTGTTTGTGAGCAAATGTGTGACTGCCTCCATGTTTGAGTTTCGAGCATTATTTCCCCCCAAAACATGACGGTATCTTGGCTGTGACTTTAAAATGTTGTGTTTTTTTTTCTTTCTCTTTTCTTTTTCTATCGCTTTATTTTTCCCCTACCGACCCCCCACCCTACACACACACGCACCCCAACCCTTGTAGTTGTGTACATTATTCCTGCGAAGCCATTGACTGCCAGGAACCGTTAATCCGCAATGCAGAGCTAAAGTGCAGTAGCCCCGGCCGCCACTTCTACAACGGAGACCGCTGCACCATCTTCTGCAACTCTGGATATGCCCTGCAAGTCCACCAGGATGATGACATCATCAAGACCCAGGTGAGCACACAAACAAGCGTCTATGCACATACACTTAAAGGCAGCGTTAGAGCTCAAACTACAAAGAAACACAAAAACGCATAAATGTCTACATGCAAACCTTTTGAGTGCAAAGAATGTATGCAAACACAACTTCATGACTGCACACTTAAAAATGCACTGATGCAAACGGAAACATACAAATGGCCAAAAGGTGCAAACAAGCATACGCTCTGCTCTCCTCTTCTCTCTCGCTCTGCGTTTTCTTGTCACCTGTGAAAACTAGGCTTGGCAGGGCTGGCCTCCTGGGACAATGACATCATAAGAATCCATAGAGATTGCTAGCTTGGTACACATTTGCAAACACAACTCTGGCTTGCGAATACACGCGCACATCGCAGCATATGCTCTCTTGCTAAAGCATACTGCACCATCATCTCAAACAGTCACTTTGTATTGCCGCTCCACTGGGACGATGACATCATGGTGTGGTGTCTGCTCCCTCTCCCTCGCAAGTATTTGTTAAAGGGCAGAGACTTGCTACCACAAAATGGCACACATTAAATGCCTCTGTATAGATACTGCACACATACAATAAAGCACATCAAAGATGATCCCATGATCAGAACACGGGTTAAAACAGAAACAGTAGTTGACACGACATTGTAAACCTTTTGATTTAAACCCTGGCTGCTATTAAAACCACATACACGCTTTATCTTTCTCCATAGCTTTATAAAACTAAGTGCATTAAAATCTGTTCATGTTCACTTACACAAACGGCTTGTACTTTCATGCACAGTGCTGTGCAAAAGTCTTGAGCCATTTCTTTCTCCTTTTTTCTTGTAATGTTTTAAATTGATCTTAAACACGATTTTCCTCAAGCTTTTTCGAAGTCCCATTCCCATTAACATATTTAATAGATTCTACAGAAAACAAAACAAAAAAATTAAAAGATTTCACACATAAAGATAGACACAGCACCGAATAGGTGATTCCCTCAGAGATATTAGTTAAAAACTCGACATTGATGGTGAGCTGAAGGACATGTGGGACAGCACTCGTGTCCTGTGTCAGGTCCTCCTTCAAAACGTGACTCTCAAATACTTGTCAGATACAGTTCATCTGCCGGAGATACATTTTAGGCCTGACACTTCCTCTTTTGTCCTCTGCTTGTTTACCTTTCTATTGTTTTAAGTACACGCTGCACTGGTGAGAGATACAACGACAAAAAATGTAACCAAAGTTGAACAAAAAAACTTTAAAGAGACCTTCAGAAATCCTGGAGAGGTATTGATTAAAACCACTTGAAAGGACGGCAAAAAAGTTTAGCTTTTTGAAAGGAAAATAGGGTGTAAAGAATTTCTGGGGTTGCTTGGAAACTTTTGCACAATACTGTTTTTTATCCATATTAAGACTGTAGTGTTTGTAGAACATCAACTCCAACAGTCATATGGATTGCATACCCCAATACTCCCAATAATTCTTCATCGACTCTGCACATATTTCTAATTGCATTTCATTTTGATTGACAGCGCGCTGTGTGGCTATTCATCAATGTCAGTTCATTTAGTGATAAATGATGCTTTTCGGAGACAGCGAGACAGGAAAGTATAGAGAAAGTAAAGCAAAGGAGGAGAGGAGAGAACTGAAAAGGAAGTGGAGCTATGCCAAACTATTTTCTTTTCTTTGCCACAAATGATGCTTGACAGTTCAAAGGTATTTAGAGGACTTGTTATGAATAACTTTTTGTACTTATTCACTTAAGCAGAGGGTAAGTTTTCACTTTCATTGCCATAAAATTAGCATACTGATGTTAGTCCAAATCAATAATGTTTATGTCTGTACGATTTGTGATAGTCATCGTTTCTTTATCGTGGTGCTATAGGAGCCTGTTTTTTATTTTGTAAGACAGGTGATATTATGCATAATCAACTATTTTGAGCATTATGTCATGCTATAATGTCATTCCCTCATAAAAAAAACATACGCAGAGTGTTGCTGTGACTCATTCTTTCATGTTTGAGAAATCCTTGAATCTCCTGTGGTAGCCATGTGAAGCTACCTACACACTTGCTGGTGCAAAGCGCCGCCTATTTGCACAAAGCTCCTCCCTAGAGCTCAGTCTGCAGCAGAGCTCCCGCCCCGCAGAGCATCCCTCCCCCGAAGCGTTTTTTTTTTTTAAAATGTGCTGAAGTGGGAAACGCCTCAAATGATAGGAGGTTCTTAATGAGACAGAGACCAATTCCAAAGTGTTTAGATAGGCTATGATGGAAAGTCAGTTTTAATTTTCATGTTTTTCAGATCAAACTGAGGGTAACGTAGTTGATTGTGGTATAGATTTGAACTATGTGCCTGGAAAATACCTAACACCACCCTTTAAAGTTGTCTTAATACCTATTTATCAAATCTTTCTTGTAGTCTTTTGAAGATATTTTTTGGATACTGGCTGCTTTGTCATTCTTTTTAAAATCAGGTTCCCAAAATGACTAGACTATTATGAAATGACTGGTTATCCTGTACAGGGTTTATACTTGGTTCTAAATTGATACTTCCCTGGTAAGTACCATTATGCATTGCTATCAAAATGAAATATAAAAAATAGTGGTGGCTCAAAACCTTTTCACTGTACAAAAGTGAGAGGAAATACTTGAAGCCTCTTGTGCTTTTTTTGAAACATTTTTGCATGACTTAAAAGGGACATAGCAGGAAAAATCCACTTTTTTAGCCATTAAATTCATTTAGTTGTGTAAGGTTGGAGAGACAAGTCTTGGTGGTAAACCCCGCTAATAAACTAGATTAGACTTGTCTTGATGCTGGAGAGGGTGGTGTGAGGCTCCTCGTTTGGATTTAAAGAGACATGGGGTTAGATCAGATTTTGAGAAGCACCTCTGAAAAGGGGTGAAAGAAAGTTATTGTAAGGTGAAATTCAAATCAAAGCATTGCAGTTTCACTTTAGTATATTTAATTAAGGAAAAACATCGACTTCAGCGGTAGTGAACCTCACAGGAGGACTTCAAGGTAAAAAAAAAAGTTATTAGTAAAAAGACTGGTGGTGCAACAAAGTTTATAAACAAGGAAGTCAGGTGGTGACATGGAAGACAACTCTGGGGAAATGTGTGTAGAATGATCTGGCGAGTAGTTGGAGAAGTGACACTGGTTAGCAGGGGTATGTGTAAAGTGGAGGCACCTGAGTGATTGCTTAGTGGGAACAGGTGTCAGGGAACAGCAGAACACAGAGCTGGCTGAGGGAGGGGTGAGAGTTGACACAGAGAGCAGGAAACATGAGGATAACAAAGCACACAGATAAACACCAACTATGACAAACTGATGACCTTTTAAATTTGTACTTACAATATTAATATTTTTATTAATTACACAAGATAATATCAAATGATTTTTCTGGACCAAAAAAAGTAAAAATACATTTGCATCCATTTCAGATTATACAATAAATCAAAAAAATAAGGCAATTAGATCATTTGTATTCCGTTTTTAGGCATTTCATCATTTGCATCTCACTTTTTTTTTCATTCTAGTCCACTTATAAACACACACATGCAGTTCCACTGTGGCACTGAAAAGTGCACAGTCTTGTTTCCTCTCATTAGTCAATTACATTCTTCTTTCACTGATGTCAAAGCAGTTCTGGGAACACCACCTTTATGGTTGCTATCTTAAGAACAAATCTTTTCCCCTCACATGCTCGATTTGCTTGTGCGTGTTTTATTGTTGTCCCTTTCCCTCCCCTATCTTTCTTTCCTTCTTTGAAGCAGTGAAGGAACACTGAGTGCTGGCACTGATCAAGTCACATCTTTTACCTACAGGCTTTTTCTTTTAAAACATTCAACAGTGTTGAACATTGTCCAACATGAAACAGTACTTCTCCCCTCGTTCTTAAGATTAGGCCCACATCAACATAACAGTAAAAACTTTTTGCATCCAAAACATCTTCATGATTATATATATAT